TTTGGCTGAATTGAGAGACTGCAAGTTTTGAGTGTTTAAATCTTCACACTGTGAATTTTGTAGATCATAGAGAACATAAAGATAAACATACTGAAAGATTGATTTCACTAACTAACATTGAATGAGGAGTAAATGATGACAGGTTGATGAATTATTAGAAAAATAATAGCGAAGTGACCCTCACACCTCTGATGTAATGTATTTTGTAATAACTTAACTGAATTATTCTGTTACTTGTATAAATAACTTTGCTTGTAATACAGTTGCCAAAAAGTAACTGTATTTAATTACAAATTGCTAAATAATTTAATTACATTCAATTACAGACTGTATTTACTGTCAAAAAGAGGTGGCCCTTATGCACCCAAAATGTGTTAAAATGTCACATGAGACAATGAGACATGAGAGCTGTCATTGGAAGACAGTTAGCGAATCCCTTTATTTGTCAGTGCTAGCAACAGTAACTAAGGGGGGTGGGGTTTACCAGTAGGTCTGTTAACCTCCATGTGAACTGAGCTGATCTGCTCTGTCATCTGTAATCAGCTCATTCAGAAGGATGGCAGTGTTAAAGGCTGGCACACAGGCTCATTAGACGCAGGTAAATTATTCATTACTAAATGTGGCATCGTTAAGCACAGCGTTTGCAGGCCTGACAAGAACCACAGTCGCGTCTTCCTTTCTATTTACCCTCAACGTCAAAGCTTCACATTTATCTTTTTAGACTTATTTCCTTGTTTATTTAGGGAACTTTGGATTATGGCCACGGTTTCCAACACTCCTGCATTAGCTGTAAATGAATCCTTTTCACTTTAACAATACAGATGAGACTTGATTAATAGCTATCTCAGTTATCCCGTCAAAGAAGATGATTAAAAATCAAGAAAAATTTAGCATTGAGGCACAAAATGTGCCCTCAGATCCTGAGAGTTCTAATGACAAGATGAGACAGGAAAAGAAGATGGTGAAAATTAATCCCAGCAATGCAGGAATTTATTTTATTTATTTAGCGTTTGGCTTAATGTTATATTAAACTTGTATATTTCATCTATAGTGGCCAAGAAAATGTGTTATTGGAATTTTGTTTAACTTTGTAAAACTATGAACTAAAGTTAGATATAAGAACTAAATAACTAAAAGGATTTATTAAAATTGTGTAGACATTTGAAAAAACAAAGATTAATAAAAACAACAAACCTACTAAAACTTTAACAAATATTGCAATATTTATTCATTCATTAATTTTCTTTTCAGCCCTATTCCTTTATTAATCTGCGTTCACCACAGCGGACTGAAACATCAACTTATTCAGCATATATTTTATGCCCGTCCAGCTGCAACCCGTCACTGGGAAAATATTGCAATATGGTAAATGGTATTTTAAAAATATGCAAAAAAATATAAATTTTGTTATGTTTAAAGACCAGGATTTTTTTTTTTTTTGGCCCGCATCTTGCATTGAATAACATGCTTACACAACTCTAAAAAATTGTAATAAGCATTTAAAATAATAATGGAAACCTATGGATAAAAGTCAACCTGGTGGTTATGATGCCTGTTAAAGGGTTAAAAAACATATATTCCTAAAGATTTAGAGCTTCATTTAGAGCTTTTTTTGGTCAATATAACAAATGTTTTCATTTGTTGTGTTTTACAGTCATCATTGTTTTACTAAATACTTTATTGATATCCTAACGCTTATGAAAATATTGGGATTTTGTTGTCTAAACATGAATATAAACACATATAGCTAGTTACCAAGTTATATATATATATATATATATATGTGTGTGTGTGTGTGTGTGTGTGTGTGTATACTGTATATAAACTGTATATATACTTATGTATAGTGTGGGTGTGTACATGTGTCTGCTATGGCTGCTGTATATAATACAGATTCACAGTAATCAAACCAAGTGAACTTCTAAATATTAGTCTATTAGTAAAGTGCTGTTTGGTGTTATGTTCATTTCATAACCATATAGAGAGAACATGAACATTGTGATAATCAAGATTTACTGAATTTGCTGAACACATTTATCTTCTGTACACTCACACATACACACACACACACACACACACACACACACACACACACACACACACACACACACACACACACACACACACACACACACACACACACACACACACACACACAGACATATCTGATATTAATAGTGAAGTTATGTGGTTAATGCAGAATGAGTTGATTTTCTTGATGGGGCAAGTGCTAGTATATGGATTTTGTACATGAAACTTTATAGTTGATTGATTAAGCCTCAAGTTGAAGTTCTGGAACAGGTTAGAACACTGTAAAATGTAAACTAATAATTCATATCTTTATATTCCATCAGTGAGCTGTAAATGTCTTTATAGTCAGAGAATAGCGATTTCAAGTAAGTATGTTCCAATGTTTATGTGTTTTAATACAATGTGTGTAATATTATGCGCAAATATTCCAATATTTTCCTAAATTATTTTAAAATCTTTACTACTCTGCCACTATATTATGGTAACAATCCATATTTTAATTTTGTTCATGTTTTTAACTTTATACACTATTTAATAATTTTTTATCTTAATTTGTCTTAATTGCAGTCATTTGTTTTAAACTTAAAATGATAATAGTAATGTTACAACTAAATAGTGTTTTATTTGTTATTATTACAAGCTGCAGTTGTAATAGTTTCTTAAAAAATTAAAAATATATATCTAAATTAAAACAAGTGTTTTAATATTTAAAAATTTAGCTTTGGTTTGTATTAAAATTTTCAGGTTATATAAGCTGTGTTTTAAACTTAATAAAACATAAATTGTATACACACTATATATATATATATATATATATATATATATATATATATATATATATATATATATATATATATATATATATATTGCATATTAAATTGTTTTATTCTGCTAGAGATGTAATATTATCTTCAAATATTTCTAAAACAAATCTTAATGATATTTTTAATATCTTAACATTATTTTTGTTACTGTTATATTAACATTACATAAATTTTAACACTTTCTTTAAATTTATTTGAAGGTCTCAATAATTTATTCATTTTGCGTGTTTTAAACTGTCATTTTACACACATTTACTGAAACATTGTTCATATAATTGTTAATGATATTTCTCTTAATATGTTTTTTTTTTTCTTCTGCTCTTTAACATTCCAAAGACGAATGGCGTTTGCATAGGCGAGGGTATTTTCTCCTCCACTTTTGTTTTTTTGGCTCGTTGACTGCCCTGTCATTGTGAACCGCAGGTGTTGCTGTGTCCATAATGTCCGCCGTGTCTCAGCAGGCACATCCTGAAATAAAGAGAGCAGATGCAGCACATTCCTGCTGACCTATTCAGTCCCTACCACTATAACGGTGCATAATTTGGCTCCCGTGTAGGTGACAAATGACCCAACTCTAAAAGCCCCTGTGTTGGGTGCTAAAACCCCCAGTGATGTATGACCAAGCAACCCTGATAAATCCCCCACATCATTCGTCCTGTGACAGCAATTCATCACCTCTGGGAGTTTAGCGTTTGGAATTCCTATTGGATTTTTAATGAAAGAGAAGATAATGTGACTTAAAGTCAATGAGTTTTGTGAATCTCCCCCAACCCTCAAAGAGAAAAACTCCATTCTGTTATTTTACACTCTTTTATCATATTTCATTTACCAAGGCACATGCTATTTAACTTGTCTTTATCAGATATTAAAACTTAATCTTTAAACCCTGTGCGCAATTCCTAAACACACTGAATTTTATCCTGACCACATTTCACCTACTGAAAAAATCATTTATCAAGACTAGCTATGTTTCCATTCAAAGACGCTAAATAAATTTATAAACAAAACTGGAATATCGCATATAAGACATTAATAAAAACTTTTTTAGTGGAGTTACTGGTGGAGATTGAGGCCCAATCCCGATTCTACCCCTTAGACTTTTCCCTTACGTGAAGGGGTAGGGGTGTCCCAATTCTCTTTAGTTTGAAGGCGTATATTATGATAACATAATATATGCCTTCAGTGATTTCCTCAAGTTAAATACCAAAAAATAATGCAACTACAGCAGTCGCCATCAACAATCTTATGGAGCTCTCAATGACATATGATGACGTGTGCAGGTGTTGTAGTGGTGTCCCATTTCTTAGGGGTAAATGTTGAAGACCTTCCCCTTCACATTCTGTTGCAAGGGCCGAGGGTAAGGAGTAAGGGTACAAAAATACAATTGGGATTGGGCCTAAGGGTGCTTTTACACCAGCATTTTTGGTCTGCACCCAGGTTCGTTTGACGTCATAGTTCAGTACGTTTAGCTAGTGTGAACGCTGTCTTCTGAACTTGGGTGCGCACTGGTGAACCGTACCCAAGTCTGCCTGAAAGAGGTGGTCTGGGGTAAGGTTCGTGCAAACTGTACGGTTCACTTTTGATATGAATGCAATCTTCCCAAATAATGGAAGTGAACCGCCAACTGTACAACAAACTTTAGTTTTCATAACGTTCATTCGTGTGTGTGTATGTCTGTGTATCACCTTGTCTTACCTTGGCAACAAGTGGGACTAACCCAGTAAAAACACAGTGATAATGTCTGCTTGTCTCCACCAACGACTTCTGCAGACTTCGCGTGATGTTCTGAATGTTTTTAATGTTTTTTTTTTTTTTTTGGTAGATAGACACAAGTGGCTCTCTGTATTTGTTTGTTTGTTAACAAAACCAAAAGATTTAGCAAAAGCAGAATAACCATAATATGCAGACATTTCCATTTTGGTGCTTTGCTTTCGAGGCTGTCACCTAGCAACAGCTGTACACAAAGCAGCAACTTGATGATGCAAGCGTACCAGGTTCAGAAGGAAAAAAAGACAGTGTAAACACAAACCAGCCGAGAAGGTGGCGAGGGGGCACAATCAAACTTGGGTTCAGTCCAGGCAACTGAACCAAGCGTGAAAGCACCCTAATTGTTTACCTATAGAGTAACAATACGTGCTAGCAAAATAAACATTGTACATTTTAATCTCACACAGACTTTAGGCTGTTTTAATAAGGTTACAGTATGCCTTCTCAACTGACAGTATAATTAGCCAGATGAACAAACTGTAGAGTAAAACACATCCAGTCATCATTTTCCATATAAACGTATTTTTATCACAAAGTCTTGTACATGTGTTATCTGTTATGACCTATTCTACAAAGCGTAGTCCATCATAAACTTGACATTGTTTATTTTACCAATGATACACCACAAGTAGTGTTGCTAGAAGCCCACGTTAAAAACACTCGGCCACTGAGGCTTTGCACTCTGTGTAAACAGTCAAGCCCAACCTTTCATGTGCAGTTCTTTGATCCTGAAATAGCGTTTCTCATCATGCTCCCCAGTGTAGAGTGACATTTAAACAATTAGTGGCTTTTGGGCAATCAATGTCAGATTTAGCAAGAAATGTCTTGCACCACAAACCCCACACGGAATCCATTTGATCATGATCCAGCAGTGAGAGTCCTATCAGATTGAGAGATATTAGACACAGTCTAGTGTCTATGGTTTCCCAAACTGCTGCTCATCTCTCAAATAGAGTTTTTGGTCAAGTCTGTTTCTGAATCATTGGCTTTAGCCCTTGAGCGCCAGTTTGGTTTAATGTGTGATGGTAATATTTCAGACTGCTGATTTCGTAATTTCCTGTAAAGGGGATCATTCCTCCGCAACATGCAAATGAACGAACAGGCCACTGCAGACATAATCAGAAGCACAGCAGTGAGGCTGATTATCAATCCGTCGTTGATGACATCATCATTTTTTCTTTTGGAAACCTCAGTGGTGGTGACATTAATGCAGTTTTTCAAATGTCTACTTTGCATGTCTGTAATCTCCACACACACCTCGTACTGCGTCAGTGAGTGTAAGTTTGTGAGGTTGAACTTTTTTACATTAGACACCACATGGGAAGTGAACTGCAAGGAGTGGTGCTGAGAATTGGTTGACCACTTAATATTCGAAACAAGACTTCCCTTGGGTGGCACCCAAGATATGCTCACCGAATTTGGCTCTGTGTTTTCGACTTGGATGTGTAGAGATTCATTTACCAGTAGTGGATAATAGCCATTTACAATGACCAAGACAGATCTCATGTCCACACCTATGAGATTGTGAGCCACGCAAGTGTACTGTCCGGCTTCGTTCTCTGTAATACCATAAATGTCAAACGTTCCCTCGGGATGCAGGTGATACTTCTTGGAGTCCATCTGAGGCAAGATCTTCTCGCCTGAAGGTGTGACCCAATAAATCTCCGGTTCAGGGTCGGCAAATGCCCTGCAGTGGAGAGACACCAAATGACCAGTTCCCACATTTACCTGATCAGGAAGGCTCTCTGGAGATATTAGTGGCAGGCAGATATCTGCCATTTCTCGTGAATGCACCTGCTTGACAAGACGACCTTCAAACTCTGAAGGCCCTGCGCATAAAAGGGCATCCAGTTCCATGAAGCGGACCCTGGTATTGTTCATATTGATCCAGCGAATGACACAGTCACAGTAAATGGGGTTGGAGTGGATGCTCACCTCTTGAAGGTTAGGCAAGGATTCCACTGTTATGTGATGAAGGGCCCTAAGGGCATTGCTATTCAGCATCAAGGACTCCAGTCTTGGGAGTTGAGAAAAAGCATTTGGGTGAATATAGGAAAGTCGGGGGTTGTTTGTGGCTTCGATTTTGGTAAGCTCTGGTAGGTTATGCAAGGCGAAGCTGTCGATTGAAACTAACTCTGGCATGCTGTTAATACCAAGTTCTTTCAAATGGATCATGTCGACAAAGTCACCCCTTTGGATCCTCTCGATGGGATTCTTGTTAAGGTCCAGAAATTTGAGGTTCCGCACTTGTCTGAGAGCAGCTTGAGGTACTTTTGGGAACATATTATCATAGAATGACACGCTTTCTAGCTTATCAAGGCCAACCAGGGCACTGTCAGGGATTTCAGTGAGGTTCATTCTGGTTAGCACAAGACTGCGGAGATTGATAAGGGGCTTGAAATTCATGTTTTGTATTCTGGCAATTGGATTCTCTCCTATCATCAAGATTTCTAGCTGGGAAAGATCCTGGAACCACTCTGATCTTATGGCTCTTAGCTGGTTGGAATTAAGATGAAGCCTCAAAAGCTTATTAAGCCCTTGGAAAGCCTCTGCACTGATCAAGGAGAGTAGGTTATGGTTAACATAGAGCTCTTGCAAGTTTGGAAAGTGTGCAAGGAAATTATCATGAAGGCTGCTTAGCCAGTTCTCTTCTAGGTGCAAAGACAAAAGTTGTGGAATGTGACCTATATATATATCACTCAGTGAGGATATGTTATTTCGAGATAGGTCTACCTCAGTTAGGTTTACCAGGTAGTCCAAGGGACTGTCAATCTTTGCAATGCTGTTTGCTTGTGATAGAAGTACTTGTGTGTCTGAAGGCAACCTCTCCGGCAGAGTCAAAAGTCCTAGATCATTACAGTCCACAGTCGGAGCCTCATTATACATGGACAAGGGAGAGAACCAGGGTCGGATTTCACATTTGCACAGCTTGAGGCACACAACACTCCACTTAGAGGCCTGAACTGAGTTCGTCAGTGCGAGTCCTGCCAGCAAACAAACTGCAAACAGCAAATCTTTCATCTTGGTCCTGCTCTCTTCAGCTTGTAATTGGTCCTTATGGGGTCTGGCGTTCCAGGCGTTAAATTCACTAACACAGAATCATTTGTTATGACAACATGGGTGTATTTCTGCTGATGGCAAGTTCCCCAAAGCAGCGATTTTGTCTGTTATCGTCCTTGGCAGAGAGTTGCAACCTTTCAATTTACTCAGCTTTGGGTTGTCATGCAGGCTGCAAATGTGAAGGTCAGCGTATCCTTAGGGGAATAGAAGCAGGGAAAGTGGAAATTTGCAGGGTGAGCTCAGGTTCCTGTTGGGAATGGACCACTTGTCTGCCATCGTTATTATGTTCAATCAGTCACACTCGTCACTTCCCATCTGCGGAAAATAAGAGACAGGAGAGAGGTAATGAATACGGTGTCACATTAGCGTCAAGAAGAGCCATCTTGGCATTTAGAAGCATGAAAATATATTTAGGCCATATGAGTGAATGTATTATTGCTTTTTTGAGCCATCAAATAACACAATATTGCTGTTTTGACCTCATACACCTGCCTTTTTCATACCTGTCACGTGACCACCGAGACTGCTCTAGCAATATATTAATGTCAGTGGCTTTTTATGTGCATGAATGCTGGTGGTAAAAAAAATTAGCATACATTTCCATAGTCCTGAATGTTTGGTTTATGACAGAAGTGTATATTTACTCCACCTGGTCTTTGTATAAGTGCATCAGTATGCAGTTCCATCTTATTTCTGTCACAGATCATTTTGCATTTGTGAGATAACGTGCTTTATTTGGTGACTGACTGGCCTGACACTTAAATCTGTTGCTTTCATTCCTACGCTATGATGCGTTATGAATATAATAACTTACTTTAACCACATTTATATGAAAGCCAATTTAACAAGTGTCATTCCCATCATACATAACACATTTAATTTGTGTTTCACATTCCTTTCCAACGTGTTATCCAAGCATACTAAGGGCATTGCTAACATTGGTTTTTATTGTCTCATAAATAGACATTAAAGCCAGCTGAATGCACAGAGGGGCAATTATTCCACAATGAAGTGCTATCCCAAAGGGCTTGGCGATAACCACGGTATTTTGTCTCTCAGTGGCAGCTGCCAGTGGCGTAGTAAGTTAATTAGGACATTTTAAAATGTGCCTGTAAACTGTGCTTTGTAGTGTACCTGTTCTGTGGCTGCGGAAAACTTACTTAAAATGTTTTAAATAGTGGAACAGCAGCACTGTGTGTGTAAAATATGTGATTGTGGTGCTGCATGTGAGTTGTTCTTTACCCTTTTAGAGTATACAATGATTAAAAACAGATGTGTTATGAGTGTTTATTAAAGTATTAAAGAAATTAATTTAAAAAAAGCATATCAAAATGTCTCTGGGGGCATTTACAGTACATAACACTGTTCTTAGCATGAACCTCACATTTGCAATCAAATGTTATAAAAATACATGTAAAACACTAATTGGATTTTGGAAAATTTTCATGTAACATGAAATCAAACATCTGAGATTTCACTAAAGAGTATGGAGGGGTACACTTCAGATTCTAGCCAGCACTGGAGGAAATATCTGAAGAGAAGCTGATGTGAAGTATGATGTCATCAACATTGCTGATTGTTAATATTGGTGAAAGTTCTAAATTGGTCATTGTTTTGGAGCACACTAGCTTTTAGATAACCTTAAGGCTAGCATAATCATGCTGAAAGACAATTTTTCATGATTTCATAAAGACTTCAAAGGGCACCTGATGATAATAATCTTTTGGAAGCTGTTTGGACAGAACTGTGTGTACTCATAGCGTGTCCACAGTCACATTGGAGTGTTAGAAACACAATACGACTATTTTTTTTTTTTTAAACTTCCTGACGTTAAAATTGGATCCAAATCCCTCCCATTTTGAGGCGCAATGTGACATAGGAGTGCGGTTTCCCCGCCCACTGAATTGATTGCCAAACGTGTTTTAACATGTCTCCATAGTAATGTGTATAATCATATCCACAAGACAGGCAGACCCCTTTAGTTTTTCACGATTTGTTTTTGTGATTTTTTTTTGTGAAATGACTGATAAACGGCGGTAATTCACAGAAATTTGTGGACAATTTGGATATATATATATATATATATATATATATATATATATATATATATATATATATTTATATAAATCCATACAGCAAAGGATATTAACCTATATCCTGTCACATTTGCCGTTAATTGTGTGCGCTACGAGTGTGTGTCCGCTGTGTGTGCGCATGAACTTTGTTACAACATTGTTTATGACTCATTGCAGAAAGTTCTTGTAGTATTTTACTGTAGTATTTCTCACAAACTTTACATGAAATCTGCTTCCTTCATGTCTGTCACTATGCTGTTTATCTGATGGAGACAGACACATTGACAGGCACTGGGGAATGGTGGGCGATGAACTAGCCTTAAAGGCAAAGGCAACAAAAACAGCTACTTTTTTTGTTTAGAGCAGTTAATTTCAATATTATGAAAGCTATAATATATAATCTGATGGGTGTTTAGAGCTGAAATCTTACAGACACATTCTGGAGAAACAAAAGACTCATCTTAAATCTTGAAAAAGAGGTAAAATAGGTGCCCTTTAACTCTCTGTCTTGCACAGGCTGACAACTTGATTACCAAAAAAGTACTGCTATAGACTGTGTGGTTTGTGATAAGGTTTACATTCAATAATATCGATTGACAGCTCTTACATATATAAATATAAAAAATGTGGACGCTGACACAGAAAATCTCTGTACAGTATATTTGCTAGATCTCACTTTATATTTTGAAATTATGATTGGCTTGCAACCTTGAGGACAAAAAGCACAGAGCAGCCTGGCCAAGCTAGATGAAGCTGTCAGGATCACTATAGGAGCGGGTTTGCAAAAGAAGCCCTCTAGGACAGTGTGCTTATGTTAGTCTGACTATGGCAGCGAGTCAACACAAGCAGGTGGGAGCATTTTTTTTTCCTCTGTTCTCCTTGCTTTGCCATCTGTTTGGTCCTGTAGTCCGCTTTTTTGCCAGGATTGCGCAAAGATCACCATTCATCCCAACAACAGTGCAAATGATGAGGTTGTAAAACTTGTTTCAGAAGCTGCTTACTATCTGATGTATGAGAATTCGGTGGTGTGTTGAAGTGTTAGGAAAGGCTGACTGAAAGAAGTGGCTTTTTTGATGTCAAGAAATTAGTATTATTACTAAAGCTTAATTGTTATTTTGTAACAGTTCTAGCCTGGGATGGGCGTCATCTCGTGTCTCAACCAATGAGAACATTTGTAATTGGCCTAATGCTGAGATCACACCAAATGGAAAGCGATATCACTCGCATTAGCATACTCATGGGATATATTTCACATTACGCTAATTGCATACATGGATTCTTCTATAATTACAATCAATTCTCATATATTTGTGTGTTTGCATTGACTTTGTTTTACCTTTAAGGTAATACTTTAAAGTAAGTTTGCTTTTGGTGTGAGCCCAACATATTATGATACATATGCTGCAGGCAGTCTCAAATCAATGAATAAATGTTCTGAAGTAAAGATTTTCAATGGTCAGATTAGTATGGAGTAGTGAAATCTTGTAAGGACCCTGTAATTCTGAACACAGTTCATACATCTGTACTTCTATCACAAGCAGCTCTCTGTAAACAGTGTTATAGTATTATATCTGAAAACAGCGTGGTGCAAGGACAGGAACTGGGAACCCAAATCGCTATATCACTAAATATTTGCTGTGGCAGTTGGTTTTAGATTTAATTTGATTACAGTAATGTCTATAGCTGCGTCCCAAATGGCACACTATACACTATGCACTCATGCACTATGTACTTATGCACTTACACACTCAACAGGATAGTATATGTATGTAGTGGCATCCCAAATGGCACACTAATGTTTTTTTACTAAGCGGAAATTCAAACCGTTTCCCTGATGACGTTTGACGGTTGCCAAATCAGTGAAATAAATGACCGAATTATTAAATAATACCTGCCGTGAGTATTGCCGCATTTACCATCGGGAGCCGCTAATCACTCTCTTAGGAGAATTTAGCTTTCACCATCCAAAATATATAAAGTTATCCAACATACTGTATGCGTTCGATAGCTCCGCCCTTTCCGCTACGTAAGCAAATCTACGGTCGTTGAGTGCATGAAGTGTCCATCATTACACACTTCATTTTAGCGGCTGAATGAGTGCATCATCCGGGTAGTTAAAGTGCACTTATGATTTTTTTGAGTTTTCAGTGTGAACACACTACTTACACTATTTATACTACAAAATGGCGTAGAATAGTGCATACGTATGCGATTTGGGACGCAGCTTACGTTAAAGTATTGTTATCAAGTTTTTATTAGAAGTAATCAGATATTGAAAGTGTTGTTGCACTTTCTTCCATATACATTACCTTTTAAAACAAAGTGGACAACGTACTACTTTTGAATTTATGATAGCAATAAATCGTGATTTTAAAAAATGTAGTCTGTGCAGAAAACTATTTATATATTATATTATATATGTATTATACAACAGTTCTGTCAGGTTCTCGAATCTGATTGGCTGATAGCCGTGTGATATTCTGCAATATCAGAACTCGTATATCTGCCTTTTCAATCTTGTTTAATACTCTGCCACATAGAGTGACAGCAAATCAATAAACTCACTACAGTTTGACAAATAATGCAGCTGTTGGACAACAGAATGTACTTTTGAGGCTTTTAGGGAAGAATATAGTTGTTTAGATTGCAACTATGCAGTTTATTTATAAAGACAGTGCCTATTTTAAATATTTATAATTTCAGAGAAACATTAGTTTGTTATTAAACAGAGCAAATACAGTTGGCGTTGTCCATCCATAAGATGGTGACAGAGACCACATAATAAGCCCTTAAAGGAGAAAATGTCATAATTTCTAACTACAGCTGATCAAATCATTATTAAACTGGTAAGAGACTTTCTGAAGTTTGTCGCACACCGGATGCGCCACGACACGGCCTGCACATGACAGTTAAAAGTATCGCACACCAGACGCGTACATTCGCATTCTATTTAAAATTAAACTATTCAAATGGCACTCTGTGGTGTGGCAGAAAAATGAGCAGTGTCCTGAGTCATGGCTGGGCACCACGGACAGCTGCCGACTTGCAGAGCCGATGTGTTTACCCTGATAGAGACTTATGTTTAGAATTCTGAAATGCGTGCGTCGCAGAGCGGTGCTTCGGGTGTATGACGCCCTTAAGTCGATCTCTTTCTTTTGCATGTCGTAGTGCGGTATTGATACTACATAATTGTAGTGTATTGAGTGTGAGATGGGACTAACATTAAAGGAATGTATGTAT